TCCTGCTGAGTCTAACAAAATATAATTTAGTTTGCTTTCATGATGAATCAGAAGAATTTCAATAGGAATTGGTCACCTAAATTTTTTGGAGGATCTAGACTTAACTGTATGTTTCCTAGTAGAATTTCTAAGGCCTTTGTCTTGGCTTAGCTTTGTGCATTGGAAGCCTAAGCCTAATAGCATAAGTCTTCCGCTAGCAATTTGCATACAAAGCAAAGCTATTATTTCCCCTGTAAACATGCAGCAGTTACAGCTGAAGTTAAAGTACCAGATTTGCTTCTGTTGAAGTCATTGACTAAAATGGGAATAGGATCCGACACTGAGGGACATAGGTCACAAAGTGTAATTTAAATTGTAAAAGGTTTTGAGTGTGCAGCTGTACAGCCAGTGGTGTTCATTTGATTTCTGCAGGTTCTCTCTATCTATTGCTTGTGTTCCTCATACAGATTTCCCAATTTTCACAGTTTAATTTTAAAATAGAGGCCATAAAATTATCTGGTTTACTGGGTATAAAAATTACCCAGGAAAATATCACTTCAATGCACTGTATATATGAGTGGGTGTATAGTTAAATATGTGAGAGAATTGTTTTTATTAGTTTCGCCTTCTATGGGGCTCACATTTTTCATCTTATCAGAGATCTAACTTGTTTTGAAAGCAGTGAAACAGTATGCAGTGAGACTACTGATTGGACATTAGCAATGTGGATTGTGTGAGATATCTTGTATTTTTTAAAAAGCTTTGAAAAAATGCAGGAGGCTAGACATCTTGACCTTTGGGCTGTTACTTGTAGAATGATATTAATTTAAGTTGTTATAGATTGAAAGTTGAAATGTAATCACCTTTATAGTCAGTATGTAAAACTACCAATCATATCTGAAGTCTTTGTGGTGGGAGAGATATGGTTTGCTATACACTCTTTTCAGGTTGGTATAATAATAATTTTGAATAAAATAAAAAACCCCACCCACAGAGAGTGACTTTTGGTTACCCCTAGAGACAATCAACTCTGCTAAAGTCTTGTTGGGTCACTGGTACCTTAATCTAAACAGAGATTTTTCACGCACCAGAAACTGACAAAAATAAATGAATGTGGATCAATAGAAATAAGCTGAATGTCTTGGTGAAAAGACCCCTGTGACATAACTGTTTTTAGTGTTTCCTCCCACTGTTGCTTTCCCAAGACTTTAATTGCACAGTGACAGCAGCTTGAAAGGCAATGTACCAGCAAGGTATTCAGAACTAAAAACATCCTTTCTTAAGGAACTCTGCTTTGCTGTAGGGAACATCATTTGCAATGGTAATTCTTTCTTCCCCATTCTGATCCACAGGCTGCAGAGGACACTACCAGCAGGCCGGTCTTTTATTGCCATGGATACCAAGCAGATCCCACAGATCATGCAGCAGATCTTTACATCCACCATGTTGTCAAGTGCCTAAGTGTCCTTACTGGTAAATAATTAGGTGTTGTACTGCATGCCCCCTAAGCCCATAATTGTGACAAAATAAAACTGCCTCTGTAGATAACAATTATATTTGCCATCAGTTTTAAGTTTCTTTATATATCCAAATAGATATATAAGTACATATAAATGCTCTTTAATTAGAATGTCCAAACCAATTCTGTAGCATAGATTTGGGGGAAATTCTCCAGCTCAGCTGCAGGGTGACTTGAAGGTTTGTGTCCAGAGAGGGTGGTATAATGTTCAATATGCCCTGTCAAATGAATGATTTCCAAAGGATCAGCTGAAAGACAAATTGTAACCATTAAGGATACTGTATTGCTAGCAGCTCAAATTGAACTATAACATCATCTTTTCATTTTATTTTATTAAGGGCATTTCTTGGTCATCTAAGGCTGATATCCAATGTATGCAACCATGTGCAAGTCAGACGCTGCTGATCCACCCCAGTGTATTGTGCACTTTGTTTAGAATTAGAAATATAAGCAACAGCATGTGCAAACAAAACTGCTCTTTTCAGATAGGAAAGCCTTCCTTCCTCTGAGACTACTTTCTTGTCCTGATCGGCATTGAACCTTTGCCATTGGATGCTGGGGACAATAGCACAGAATACTGCAACCTAAACATGCGCTAAGTGACCAGGCAGACTGCTCAGTGTTGTCAAAGCCCAGAGAGAAAAGAGCATTTTTAAAAAAAATGTTGATTCCCTTTCTCAATTAATTTTTCAAGGATGGGGAACGGAAAGGGCAAAGAACAGTTTTGAGACCCACCTGCCAACGCTCTAAAAGAGGGAACCACCGTGATTTTCCCACTGCATGGTGGAAGACGAGGGCCAGGGTCTTGGTTGCCATGGCTCCTATGGAAGGACTCTGCACCCACGAGCTGTATATGCTGGGTGTTGTTACGTATGCTTCACAGGGGCCCTTTGCACTGTCCATTTTGTTCTCTAAAACACAAATCTTGACAGCATATTTATGTGTGTGAGAAAATCACTTTTTAAAAAGCAAGACAATAAGGAAAAAGCCAAAGTGTGTATTTTAACTTTGATGGGAAATCTGTGTTTGGGTATCTGCCTTTAATGCATAGAGCATTTCTTACTTGATGAATGTTTTCCATCTGAACATTATGCCTCCCTCAGCACATTCTCAAACATGAATTTTTTTAATTGAATTGGCTGATATTTGTCCTGCACTGTGAAGCCCTATATTAGGCTAAACACTGGTATTTTTTTCAGCCATTGCTGTAAGGATGTAAGAAGACTTAGACAACCTAGCAAGCTCCATTGTTAATTTGTTTCATCACCAATGAAAATACATTTTTCTCATAGTAATTGACCCTGGCACAAGAAATGAGAAGTGTAAGGAAGAACACTCTCTCTGAACGGCTTAGCGGAAGCCGTGCTACTTTGCTACAACTGATGAAACTACACAGAAGAGCCCCCTAGCTTTTTTGGAGTGTGGTGGAAACAAGTCTGTTACTCTCTTTTTATGAAACAAAGTTGTAAAGAGTCCAATTTCAAATCACACTATGCTGCATTTTTGTAGCGTTGCCCTTTTCCATCCTGTCAATCCTACAAAAGCATTGGGCCTAATCTTGTAAATTTTCATTTCAATATGAGACCATTGAAGATGTTCATCACTTCAGAGAATTCTTTGCTTCCCAGGATCAGATGTGCCTTCTTAACTTCCACAGGCTCTGTCTTTATTAAATTGAAGTGATTCTTTCCAGCTGGAAGTTCAGGCATTTTCAAATATTATATCTGAAATAGAATGATTTAAAAGCAGACTAAACAAACTTTCATGACTCTCTATACTTCAGAAGCAGTGGTATTCTTGTGTGTTTTGTTTTGTTTTTCTCGATCTAATTTTAAACAACTGCAAACTTTGACCTACAAGAACAATACACTTTGCCCAAATATTGTGAAGCCATTGTTCAAACTATACAGATAAATCTAACTCAAAATAGATGCTACTTTGATAGTCTGGGCAGTTTTTAAATGCAATTGTCTTAATTTATTGAGCCTGTTAATGGAAAACACGTTTTCAAATAATTGTTAGTATTGTTATGATAATTCCATCCATGAAAATAAAGAAGTTAAAGTTGGAATTCCTCTTTGGAGAGAAGAGTAAATAAGGAAAATCCTTTGGCTGAAATTAAATAAAGATCCACCTTCAGCTAGGTACTATTAAAATGTGTAATGCATATCTGAAAATATAGCACCTGCTTTAGATCTGTAAGCACATTGTTGTATTGATGAGAACCCATTGGTAATCACTTGACTGCCTTTAGTGTCAAATTTCAGTCGTATTTGTTTAACATGCATTAGTTTAGATCCAATTTTGAACTAACGTTATAAAAAGATGATTTTAAACATAAATATTTAAGCTGACAGTGTATATAACATACCTCAGATTTAAAAAAATCAAGATTTCTTTATTATTGTACTACTAAAGCTTCTTTTGCACTAGTCAGCTTTATTTTTGTTTCCAAGTAGTATCTATTCCATTTTACTTTCAGATTCCATGTACTAATGAATGCTGCCCTGTTTGCAACCCATATACTTCAGGGGAATGGTAATGGGTTTTTTTAAGCAGCACTGAGTGGAACTTGAGACAAAAAACACGCAATGATATGATTTCATTTGGGTTCTGGAAGGGGTTTATTTTTACAAGACTGAAATTGTGGGCCATATTTGACCTGACAGGGCTCCTTTAAATTGTTATAATACAGTGAAAAATTTCCCCTGGGCTCCTTTCTCTCTGCCTTTCATCTCTTCAACATCCATCTGTTTAGCACTGAGGAATCAAAGTAACAGCTATGTTTTTTTCACTTCCCAGAAAAACCTACAATAATTTTATTCAAATGTTCAGCCCATTAATATAAGAATCTAGCAAGCTCACAATGGTCTTCAGTGTTCCTGAGCATGGCAGAGCTTTCAAGTAGACATTTAAGTTCTGTTCACTTAAGCATGTCAATTAGCTGGTCATGGACATACTGGATCACAGCTATTGGACAGGTTGTAGTCTTCCATTTGTTTACAGCATATGTACCAATGACCCTCCTAAACCACCATTTGATTTAGTCAGACTTTTCTTTGTATTAAAAGGGTAGACAGCACTTTTCAGCTATTCTCACTGTTTAGTATAAACACCTTAAACGTTTGAACCCTATATGTATTATTTATGGAAATGTCATTACTTCATTAAATGGGTATCATTTTAGGGTTCTGGCCTGCTGCCACTGATCACAAGTCTCCGCATTCTTTATTTAAATAATTAAACTACCTCTATTAATGCATGTCTTTATATATTTCATTCAAGAAATTAAGTGTGTATATAATGAAATATGTGTTTCTTTTTCATTTCACATAGCTTGAGATAGTTTGTATTTATTACCATCAGGGTTATAATTTAAACAGTATTGCTGGAAAGAGTATAAATAGGATAAACTAAAATTTTGCTGGAACATGCAGAGGATATTAAATAAGTACCAGTACATTTAAATAAAATGCTTGTGAGGCATTGTTGCACAAATACATGTGAAGTGGTTCTGGTGCTAGGGTTAAGTGTGAAAAGACTTAAGATCAGGGCAACCAAGCAGTCATAGTACAAGCTGCCTATACAGATGCTGGTTCATGTTTTAATTAGCAAGTGTTGGAGCAGACTTGATTAACTGAGTCTTCTCTACGCTCCAATTAAAGCACTCTAGCATCACACCCCTATCATGTCTATTAAGCATCTGTGCATTTTAAAATAGGTGCCAGGACATTTTAGCTAAACCTCAATGGATAAAGTTTAGCTAAAGCATCCTGTTACCATTTTTAAACATGCAGGGACTTAACAGATGCAATGATGAGGCTTTTTAATTAGAGTGGCTCTCTGGGAACCACTCTAATTAAAACACTTTCCTCCCCAGCCCGCACACTCCTCAGCACATGTACAGGCAGCCTCAGCTTTGTATTTCAGCTTTGTATTTTGACATTTAAAGTCAGGCATCTCTAGCTTTGTTTCCTTGGCAGATGTTGTGCCTAAAACATTGTCAGGAATGTAATACCATAGCTCAGGGTCTAATGTGGTGACATAACATCTTAATTTCTGATTTAATATATGTGTTAATATATGCATTGGATATGGGAGTTTATTTGCAAACTATAAAATAACTTCACTGCTGATGTAAGGTTAGAAACATAACTGATGTGAAAGCAGTAGAGTTAGTTTTTTATGCAGTGATTTTTTAAAAATCATTAATTAAATAAGCTCAACTAATAAAAATCATTTTGTGCTATGGTTGTTTTTGCCCACTGTCTACTCATAAACAGTTATAATACATTGGAGGATGTAGATACAGTTATAATACACTGGAGGATGATTAACTTGCTGAGAAATAAATTACATTTATAAACATATACTGAATCCAGAAAGATATACAAGCATCAATAAAGTTTCCTTTGAAATTGTTATTAATCTGTATGTTTTTCTCTCAATTGTTGGTGTTTTAGTAAGTGGGGTTACTTTCTAAGTAAAGATATGCTTTAAAAACTTACTAGGAGTCGAACACAAGGTGTGGGACAGCTATGAGATAACACTAGATTCTTCCTATCTGTCAACAGAAAGCACTACAGACTCTTTTTTAATCTAGGGAGGATCAACTCTTCTTCTGACCTTCACAGAAAATTGTTCAAGCAAGAAAAGTCATTATTTCTCATTTGCTGTCTCTGCTCAAATTATTATAAGGGAGGCACTTGCCTCTTAAATGGAAAAATGCAAAACACCTAAGAGTTTAAGAATTTCACTTTAATTTAGGTCTATACAAATCTCTGCACACCACACAAACTAGATTATGGACTTTAACTTTGCAGTGACTTCATACAAACCTTACTTTTAATGAAGGCTAGAAGTCTCAGGCTTTTCCGTTGCCAAACTCCTGCAGGGTGTATGCAGGGTGCCTTCATGCACCCAAGAAGTTAACAGGACATAAAGACTTTAAGAAACACCTTGCAAATTCATGATGATAAGAAAAAACAGAAGATTCTCCGATACATTTGGTCATGTAAAAATGCATCTGATCCACTAAGAATGTTGTGTGACCTTTATGCTCTAACTGAACAATGCATGCTTATTTGTCTAGAATGGGCAAAACCCTAGTAAACAGCTTTTCCTAGAAAATAATATGCTTGCAAAGCAAACCTCTCAGCTCTGAAGATCCTGTATGGAGCCATGGCGAAGTCTAAGAGTTTCTCAGTTTAAAGTGCCTGTTCTCCTTGCCAGTTACACAATGAATCATAAACTGTTTATTTTAGAATGCCAGTCCTGCATCATTTCTAAGTAAATATAATTTTGACTTGTAATGTAGAAAATAGAAAAATACTATAAGTAATTCCACAGCAATCGCTGCTTTGTACCAACTCAAAAAGTACTGCCCTGACATTAAAAGTGTTACTTCCTTCAATGCATACAGCTATCATATTAAAAAGAACAATAGTGTACATTTTTGTCTAAATGAACAAGTAGCAATCTGCCTAAAAAGTGATGCTTTTAAAAATGACCCTATCCATTATCTGCCAAAGCATTTTAACCAGTAATTGATAGAACCACCTGCAAGCTTTCTAGGATGAGAAATACATATTCCCCATTGTATATGCTGTTCAGTTAGGATTGTCACAGAGGTGGGGTTGAGGAGGAAAGCACAGGCACTAGAATCTTCCAAGTGACTTTTTCCCAAAGGTGCTAAAGGATATGAGCTGAAAATTTTCATGGGCTTTCAAGGCTTCTTCAGAAATTCTAGCCTTAACCAAACTACCTTTTCATTGGAAACATATTGAAAGGTTAGAATGGCATTGCAACTCTTTTGTTATTGTACAATCTACCCTCTGACTTTTGATAGTATATGCAATCTTATGAAAACAGATTCCAATGTATAAAGCAAAATAAGTTTACTTAAAAGTTGCATACAAATTGTCACATTTGTATCTCTAGTACAACTATTAGTCTATTTTTAAAAAAGTAGACTCGATTCCACTTTTTCAATGGTAGATTTTAGCTCAGAAGATGAGCCTAAAAATACATATTTTAATTTGTGTCAGTATTCTTAAAGACACCTATTAAACCTATTAAAGACACCTATTAAACCTATTAAAGACACCTATTAACTATACAATTATTTTCTCATTGTCTTGTTAATCCATGAACCTGAAAAGTTAACAGGCTCAAAGTTGACCCTCTTAAGAATGGTTAAGTTGCTACCAGGGAAATAGCTAGTAGCACTGGTAAATTCTATTAGTCTGCAACTTTCTACAGTAACATGAGGGAGCTCCTGTTGAAGTCAGCAATAAAACTCTTGTTTACTTCAATGAAAGCAGAATTAGATGACAAAGAGGTCTTGAATATCCTGTACTAGATGGACAAGACAAACTAAACTCCAGAGTTTAAAGATTCTACTCGTGCTCTTATTGATGTAACCATGTAAAATGGAACTACTCTGCAGCATAACAGATATGTTATATTAAAGACGTATAAGTTTTATTAACACTTAAAGTGTCCCTGGCTCCTAAAGTTCTCCTGTTCTAGCACAGAAGTGCCGCAGCGGTGAAATTGCTGAAAAGCTTTATGCCTTACACACCTCAGCCACATTAGCTTCTCAGTCCAGAAGCTAAGCCGCCTTCCTAGCTGTTAGAACATTTATGCCCAAGTCCTGGATCCCAGTCCCTCCTCCAATGTGTTCTCATGTATTTTACATGACATAAAATAGTTCTTGAAACAGGGTCTAGAATATAGGACTCTCCTCTTCCAGATGAGGGCTTCAACCACTCATCTGGAGTGGTTGGCAAGAGACTCATGTTTCCTTTTTCTGGCCCCAGGGATATTAAATTGTGCTCAGTCAAATAGTTTTAAAAGGAGGCAAAGAATTTGCCTTCACCCCAAAATAGCCTTGCAGTTTGGGCAATGGGAGCTTGGGAATTTAAATCCTCTCAGACATGGAAATTATCCAGCATGAGAGAAACCCAGGTTTGTGTATTTTGACCCCTAGAACACTGTATAAATGGAGAGCAACACCACCTCCAAAAAGAGTGACCTCTGCTAAGGTTTTGCAAAAAAAGTCATAGGCCCAAATCCTGAATGGAAGGAAACATCTCCCTGAAGCCCTGTCCAAGGAACCTAAAATCCCACCCTTCTCTAGGATTAAGACACATACATATGCTCAGTGTTCCTCATCTTAATACTTATAGCAGGGGCAGGCAATTATTTCAGGCGGAGTGCCGCTTACCCAGTTTTGGCAGGCTGTGGAGGGCCGCATGGGTAGCCCCACCCCTTGACAGGTGTCCTGCCCCCTGGTCACCATCTTGGGACCAATGTCCCAATGTCTTGGTACCAATGTCCCAGGGCCAGCACTGATGGGGCCTAAAGCGGGGCACAGGCTGGCAAGGGTCTGTGGAGCCAGGCTGGGCTGCACCAGCAGGGAGGGGAGAGCTGGCCTGGCTCCATAAAGCCCAAGCCAGTTGGGACCCCACATTCCTGCCACCCTGCTGTGGGCCCCACTGGCGCTGACCCTGGGGCACCGGTGTGGGCCCTGTGCTCCCACTTGCTCACTGCCCACTCACTCCTAGTGCCCCCCAGCCCTGCAGTACAGGCGGGGGGCAGTGCACAGCCCCGACCCCCTGCTTGCTGGCAGGGAAGAAGCTGGTGCTGAGCGCAGGGAAAAGCAGCCCCTCGCCCACCCCATGGCCGGCGCTCCCTGCTGCAGGCGCTCGCAGCCCATGCAGGGCTGTATGGAGCAGGCACAGGCAGCCCCATGTGGGCTACAAGCGGCTGCCAGCTTCCCCTCACCCTGTGCTCCTTCTCTGCCTGGGGTACCCCTGCCCTTCTCCCCCCCACCCTTACCTGAGGTTCCAGCGTGGGGCAGCCACGTGCTCCCAGGCCGGAAGCCCCAGCTGGGGCTTCCGGCTGGGGGACAGGGCCAGGCGGCCCCATAGTTGTTGGAGCCTGCCAGGCTTCCCTTGGGTCCTGCTGCCCTTGGGTCCTGTCATTTTTGACAGGAACCAAGGGCATAGAAATATTAATTTTCTACATTTTTTAGGGGGCCCCACAGGCCAGATAGAATGGCCTCATGGGACAGATCCGGCCCACGGGCTGTATTTTGCCCACCCCTGACTTATAGGCTGTGCCCTGTTGAAATGTGCTGGCCTTAGATGGCTCCACAGCCAGGCTGCTGGCTATTTTGGATCCCATTCAGAGATGCCTCGATACCTAGAAAAATCATGAAGCAAGTCCTCAAGGAATCTACTGTAAAGCCCCTACAGGAGAACAAGGTGATCAGGAACGTCCAGCATGGATTCAGCAAGACCAAGTCATGCCTGACCAACCTTATTTCCTTCTATAAGGGGGCAGGCTCCATGGATTCAGGGGTGGGGGAAGAGGTGGAAAGAGAACAGTGGATATGATATACTTTGATTTTATCAAGGCTTTTAACACCTTCTCCCACAACATTGTCATTAACAAAATATAGATTAGATGCAAGTATTGGAAGGTGAATATATAGCTGGTTGGATCATCATACTCAGCAAGTAGCCATCAATGGCTCAATGTCTAGTTGAGAGGAGTGACAGGTTCCCAGGGGCCTGTCCTGGATATAGTATTGTTTAATATATCCATTAATATTTTGGATAATGGCATTGAGTGCACACTTAGCAGATTTTGGGATGACATAAATTGGGTGGAGTTGCAAATACTCTAGAGGACAGCGCTAGGGCAGATGAGATTCAACAAGGATAAATGCAAAGTCCTGCACTTAGGACAAAATAATTGCATGTACAAATACAGGCTGGGGAATGGCTAGCAAAGCTGAAATACTGCAGAGAAGGACCTGAGTGTTAAAGTAGATCATAAGCTGAATATGAGCCAGCAGCATGCTCTTGTTGCAAAAACAACATCCTGGGTTGTATTAACAGGAGCGTCACTTGGAAATCAAGGGAAGTGATTCTTCCAGTCCATTTAGCACTGTTGAAGCTATATCTGGAGTACTAAGTCCAGTTTGGGACCCCAAACTTCAAGATGGATGTGGACAGACTGAAGAGAGTCCAGCAGAACTACAAAAATGATAAGTACCTGGGAAGCAAAGCTTATAAAGAGGCTTATTTAGTCTAGCAAAAAGAGTGAGGAGAGATTTGATAACAGTCTTCAAATAACTGAGCGGTGATATAGAGAGGGTGGAGATGGGCCTTTCTCTGTGGCCTTATGGGACAGGGCTACAAGCAGAGGTCTAAAACTGGAGCAGAGGAAATTTAGGTTGGCAATTGGGAGGAACTTTTTGACTATAAGGATGGTCAAACATTGAAACAGGCTACCCAGAGAGGTTGTGGAATCTCCATCCTTGGAAATTTTCAAGACTACATTGGACAAACACTTGCCTGGGATGGTTTAGTCAGAGATGATCCTGCCTTGAAAGGGGTTGGACAAGACGACC